CGGATGTAGCTTGATGAAGTATGAAGTTGTGACCCAAAAAGCTTGAATAACTCCATCCAGAAGTTGCCAACGAAACGCGAATCTCAGTCACTAACAATACTTTTAGGCACACAACAATATTTAACAATTTACTTGAAGAAGAGTTGGGCAGTCTCCTCCATTGAAACATACTTTGGGGCAGCTACAAAGGTGGCATACTTGGAGAATCGGTCCATAATAGTCAAGATAGTCCCGATGTCTCCCACTTTAGGCAGTCCACTGGTGAAGTCAAGTGGTACACTTTCCCACGAACGTTTAGGCACGGACAAAAGTTCAAACAAGCCTACTTTCTTTTTATGCTCAACCTTGTCTTGCTGGCAAGTGAGACAAATGCAAACATATTCTTCCATATCATTATGCATCTAGGCCCAATAATATCCTTGTTTCACCAAGGCCAATGTTCTCTTCCAACTCGGATGTCCTGCCCAAAGTGTATCATGGCACTTCCTAAGAAGTGCCTTTCTCAAATCACCAGCCCTGGGTACAAAGATATGGTTGCCTGTTATCAATAGTAGTCCATCTTGCACCCAAAATTGGTGAGTCTTGCTCATTTTGACAAGGTTCATAAGATTCTCTGCCATAGTATCCTTGTCTAGACGAGCCTTGATTTTCTCCTTGATGTTGGTTGAAATGGAAGTAAGTGAACATATATGTTGGCACTCGGCAAGCTCTGCCTTCCTACTTAGTGCATCAGCAACATGGTTGGTGGCACTGGCCTTGTATTCTAAGGCAAAATCAAACTCTGTCAACTTTTCTTGCCATTGTATTTGTCGTACGCTTAGTTTGGGCTGTGTTAAGAAATGGGTAATCACCGTGTTGTCAATCTTTATAACAAACCGTGAGCCCAAGATGTAGTGCCTCCAAGCCCTTAGATAATGCACTACTGCAAGCAACTCTCTCTCATGAGCCGAATATCTCTATTTGGCATCATTGAGCTTTCTACTATCATAGGCAATTGGGTGACCATCCTGCAAAAGAACACCACCCAAAACAAAATCAGATTTGTATCTCAAAAGCTTTACCTAAGTCAAGTAGAGCAAGAACAGGGTCTTTAGACCTAGCTTCTTTCAAGGCCTAAAAGGCTTGTTAACACTCTTCTGCCCAAACATATGGCTTGCCTTTCTTTAGTAACTCTGTCAATGGGGAAGCTAGCCTTGAGTAGCCTTCAACAAACTTGCGATAATAATTAGACAACCCAAGAAATAACCACAACTCTAAGACATTAGCGGGTGGCTGCCACTCTTGAATAGTCTTGACCTTCTATTGGTCCATTTTGATGATCCATACTCAATAATGTGCCCTAGGAATTTAATCATCTCTTAGGCAAAAGAACACTTCTCTAGCTTAACATAAAGCTTGTGCTTCCTTAACTTGGACAATGCTTTTCTGAGATGTTCCATGTGCTCTTCTAAAGTGGAGCTATAAATTGCAATGTCGTCCAAGTATACTACCACGAATTGGTCTAAGTACTCTTGAAAAACTTCATTCATCATGGTGCAAAATGTTGTTGGGGCATTGGTCAAGCCAAATGGCATGACTAAGAACTCATAGGAACCATAGCGAATAACACATGTAGTTTTGGGCTCGTCCTCCTCGGCAATTCTTACTTGATAGTACCCCAATCAAAGATTTAGCTTTGTGAAATACCTCGCTTTGCTCAATTGATAAAATGAATCTGCAATTAGCGAAAGGGGATACTTGTTCTTGATGGTCAGCTTGTTGAGTGCCCGATAATCCACACATAAGCGAAGACTACCATCATGCTTCTTTTGGAACAAGACAAGTGCACCAAATGGGGCCTTGGATGGCCTAATAGAGCCTACTTCCAATAACTCTGTAAGCTGCATCCTTAATTCATTCAACTCAGGAATAGCTATTCTATACAGTGCACAAGCTGGTGACTTTGTCCCTGGCACTAACTTAATAGCACGATCTACACCTCAGCGTAGAGGTAACTCCTTAGGCAACTGTTTAGGCATAACGTCTGTAAATTGCCTTAAGACCTTCTTAACTACGGCTGGGACAAGAGTAGATTCAAGAGCTTCATTCAACTTCAATGTGGCAACCCAAGTTTGTTCACTATGTCTAACACCCCTCTTGAGTTGCATAGCTGAGACAAACCAGTCGCTACTGTTGGTGGCCATAGCGGGAATAAGACGTGGCTTATCGCTCATGACACACATGCTATTAGAATAAGGCATGACTGACGTCTTTGTGCTTCTCAAGAAATCCAACCCAAGAATGGCTTGGAAGTCATCCATGGGTACTACGGTGAAATCTACTCTTCTTTCCTAAGTGTTGACCTTCAAATGAACAGATTTTGCAACCCCATAGATGGGTTGCGCTGCCAAGTTAACCGCCTTGATGCGACTGCCATCTTTCTCTAAAGATAGCCCAAGTCTTTCAACTTCTGTCCCAGTAACAAAATTATAGGTGGCCCCGGTGTCAATCAAAGCACGGAGGGGCTTCCATTGAGCTTTACATCCACAAACATCAAACCTTTGTTGGATGACTTGGTCTTGTTCAACTTGCCTGATGATTCCCCACTATGCATGGGTTTCTTCCCTTTGCCTTCATCTTTGGACTTCACAAGTTGTTTAGGATCTGAATGCTTGCCCACTTTGCCACTCTTGGCATTTTTCTTAGGCCTCATTGTAGAAGCCTTCTTCTCCATGGCATTCATCATATGAAAGGCTCCCCCTCTAGAGCCAGCTGCCTTGTAACCCTTGTTACTTCGCTTAGACTACACATCCTCTTCCTCGCTATCATTGTCACTTGGTTGAAAGACATGGTCAGGCACCGCTACTAAAGCATTCAAGGCACACTTTTGTAGACATTCAAATAACTGATGTGGCCCATTGCATAAGAAACAAGAGATAGGGCCCTTTGCTTTACTTGTAAAGAACTGTTGAGAGGTATTTGCCTTGTCACCATAGCTCTTCTGTTGCCATTGTCCTCCACTAGAATAGGTTTTGGATGTAGAAGTATTGGCTCCCTCACTCTTAGGTTTGCCATAGCCTTGGGATTTTCCACCTCCCATACTCTTGCGCTGGGAACCACTATCCCATTGCTTAGGTTTGGCGTAGTCCGTAAGGCACTCAGCTGCTGCTTGTGCATGGGCTAAATATTGCACTCTTTGCCTTTGAAGTTCAACTTTGGCCCATGGCTTCAATCCCTCAAGAAAGAAGAAGAGCTTGTCTTTCTTTGACATGTCTTTGATGTCTAACATAATCCCAAAGAATTGTTTCACATAATCTCTTATAGTGCCGGTGTGCTTGAGATCCCGCAAAGCACGCCAGGCATTATACTCAACATTTTCAGGGAAGAATTAGAGCTTAAGTTCATGCTTAAGTTGCTCCGAAGTCTCAATTGTGCATAAGCCGCATTGCATCTCATCATGTTTAGTCCGTCACCACAATTTGGCATCATCGGACAAATACATTGTGGCCATAGAAATCCTTATCTCCTCAGCTTCAGCTTTCACAGCTTTGAAATATTGCTCCATGTCGAAGAGAAAGTTGTCTAACTCCCTGGTATCTCGGGTGCCACCGTAGGCACGGGGCTCGGGCACACGCACCTTAGGGAATTCCATGCCACTACCAGGTGCGTTGCCAAAGGCACGGGTAAGAACACCAACCCGGCCACTAAGATCTTCAATCTCTAGCTTGAGTTCAGTGACAACATTCTCCCAATCTTGCCCTTGAGTAAGGCCATGAGTTTGCTCAAGATCATGAACCCGTTGCTCAAGGTTGGCTAATGAAGCTACCAAGGCATCCATATTGTCCATACACTGCTCCAAGAGCTCAATTCTCTCCCTTTGCGTTGGTTGATGGTTGCCAGGAGTATCTATTTAGAAAGCCAATAATAAAGAAAGCCAAATAGACTGGGCTCTGATACCAACTGTCACACACCGGCTGTGCGACAGCCTTGTCAAGAGATAAGCAAGTGTGTGTGGCACTAGTTAACTCTCTTGACAAGCCTGTCAATAAAGCTCAAAGTGTTTGCAAAGACAAGCAACCGCAATATCAGTTAGTTTATGAGTCACTAGGTTGGAGACAAGTCACAAATTAGCAAGCAACAAGCTAAATTTAAGGTAAGCAACACTAGAAAAGCTTTGCACAATTTGAAAGTGAAATGAACTTTCATTAATCAAAAGAAGACATTACAATAGTTGAACAATGCACCAAAAGTGCTACAAGAGTTGCTTTACCATTGGCTAGGTTGGGGTACTTTAAAAGCACAAGTGGTTTGGTTCAACACTTGGGTACCCCCTCCTTAATATAACTTGTTAAGCCATTTCCTAGTTGGCAAGAGGAAACATCCACTATGTTTGAAGAGTCATAATGGATTTTTAAAAATTCTACAAAAAAAGAAAAATTACAATACTTGGACCCAAAACACCTTTAACACTAAGGTATTTACATAAAAATTTACAAGGTAAAAAGACTAAATTTGACCCTCCAAAAGTTGGCCTAAAGTTGCTGTTGGGCAGGCAAGTCTATGGCCTGCTGTGGCTAGGCTGTCTTGCACCATGCCTTGGGCCTTAGCTTGCGCTTGCGCTTGCACTTGCACCAACGACTTTTTAGGCATGTTTTTGGCACTCCAAAGGGCACAAATGAGTGTGGCATCAAGGTGTTGACCCTTAGAGGGGCGCACCTTGACACAAGGCCAAGGTGACACTCGAGAGCCCAAGTAGAAAGTTACAGTGATGGGCAGCTCCCCTTAAAAAAATAAATTTAAAATCATTGCAAACCGATAGCCCACATATTATATACAAAAATGCTTGGTAACCCGAAAAGAAGGGGCTCGAATGGCCCGAATAGGTGTTTACCAGACGTCAGCCCGGACGACCGGCTAGATGTCCGCCAAAACAACTGGGTGAAAACTTGTCTACTGCAGTTGTCACCTTTGTTAACCGCGACTGTCAGCCTTCTCGCCAGACGACCAGCCGGACATCCACCAGGACGACCGGCAAGATAAATGTCAGCCTTCTCGCCAGACGACCAGCCGGACATCCACCAGGACGACCGGCAAGATAAATTTTGAGCCATTTGAGCCTACCTCTTTTTCTGGCTACCAAGCATTGCTCTATTATATATTAAACTGATAACAACAGACACTACACTTGATCATAGTCAAAAAGGCCGAGAAAGGTATAATTCTCTACTCCTTGGGCTTCCTCATTTATTGCACTCTTTCTGTTTCCTCTTTTCTCCATAAACCAATGTGGGACTTCAGCAAGAACTAGAAACAATTTGAGGCATGGAGAACTATAATTATCAGTGAAATTGGCTTCTTTGATGTTCACAACTCTCCTTCTTCTCCTTCCTTCCACAAATTCAGTTCTTCTGTATACTGACTGAAATATTGATCAATGCTTGTAAAACGCATAAATGGAATCACAAGTGATATGTTGATCAATGCCTGGTAAATTAAACCACACTTTACCTTCTCATTACTTCCAAGCCTTTTCATGATTTTACAATGAACTATAACCATTCCAGCCAATCTTCCTGATTGGAAAGAAACTGATAAAAACTAATCATTCTGGTCATAATGAATATCCGGGGACAGTTTTGCTCAGAAATCAGAATGCTTTCAAAAACATTTTTTCCCAAACTGAATGGTTGCCTAAAATTACAACAAAACAAATTAAGTTCCATGTTACCGCATCAATGCTCTTGAACTGCTCAGGCATAACTGTCCATGAAATGTGGCATTGGTTTAAGGTATTCATATTACAAATCTTACTAGAACTGCTCTCTTTTTTTTCTTTTTTTTCAGAAGGTTGTGATTGCTTCTACCCCGGTTATATCTCCTGAAATCACTCCCACTTCCATCTCCAAAAAGTGCACCCATTAATAGTTAAGGGGTCGGACACCAAGAGGTCTTTTATCAAGAGCCAGAAGCAAGGCAGGAAAGCTAATGTTTGCCAGTATTTCCATTTTCTCCAGCACAGATTGAGAGTGCTCTCCGAACCGTGCTGGATAGTTGAGTGTTGCAATGAACTTTTTTAGCACCACCACGAGACGTTTTCAAAAACAATTATTTTCCCATGCTATGTTAAACACATATTAATATGTATTAATTGAACATAAATTTTTTTTTGTTGCTGACATAAACAAAGAACTGCTTGCTTTACATCAATAGAATTGAATGCTTTTTTTCTTGGCAGCAGTAGAATACAAAAATATTTCCAAAAACAGTATTTCAAAATTTGCACTAGATTTGAGTGGGGTACGCCAAGCCAAGGCAGTACTGCAAGGCCAAGGCAACGCTCAAGAGCCCCAGCAGCAAGCTACTGTGGGTGGGCACTACTCCCCCTGAAAAAAATTAATTTAATATCATTGTGAGCTCCTTGAGCTCACGTATCAGATATTAAACTGATAAGAACAGATACTACACTTGATCTTAGCCAAAAGGCCGAGAAAGGTATAATTTCTACTCTTTGGTCTGCCTCTCTTATAGCATTCTCTCTCCCTTCCTTTTTTTCACAAATCTGTGTGGGACACAAAACAGGCTCTGTAAATTGCTACTATAGCAAGAGTGCTGTGTCTTTGTGCCTGACCTTGTTTCTAGTTTTAACTCACTTGCCATCTCCTTCGGCCTTAAAACTTGACCCCGTGAGAAATACTCGAAAAATATTGGATTTGATGTACTTGAAAAGGAAAATTTTGTATGTTTTTTGAAGAAGATTTGTTATTATGAGTTTAAGTTTGAAGCAATGAAGCATGAAATTAGGCGGGCAAAGGTTTTCGTGAGTAAATCCTTGACGTTGAGCTAATTAAATTTGTAGATTGCACGCTCATTGGAGGCTAAAATGAGAATTCCACGCCAAAAAATTGCAGGTCATTTTACACAATTGTTTTCCCTATCAATTTAATCAACAGGGGTGGTGGCTCCAGAAATTTTGTGCAATGGAGACGAAATTATTCACAAAATCTGAATTTGTATTTTTTTTATCTATTAGATTGACTTCGAAGTAGTAAACAAAAAGAATTAAATTGACCAAAAATGTTAAACAAAAAAATTAGATTGCCCAAAAAATCCTATTTTTACATGCTTTTCGTTCAGCACGATGGGGATCACATGAGAAATCACACTCAGTTAAGTAGTTGTTGGTTTGTTTGTTTGTTTTTTTTTTTTTTTTGGTTTTTTGGTCTTTTGCAAATTGATGGGTGTATGGAACTAATGCAGAACATCAAGACAGATCAAAATATAATATTAATCTACAAACGGAATATTTCACATAGTTTCAAGATCTGCAGTAAGAACATTCTATCGAACATGATGAAAAGTCTATTCGCCGAGTTTTAGTCCAATAATTATATGATATATGTGAAATGAGAAACTACATGTATTCGAGAATTAGTCAGGATGAAACCCCAATCTTCGCAATGACATGTATAAAAAGAGAGTAAAAAGACTATTAGATCTTAAAAAAAAAAAAAACAGAAAAGAAAATACACAATCTTCGCAATGACATGTATAAAAATTCTAAGTATAGGCACGAGGGTGAGCCAAGAGATAGGCTTCAACAACTTCATACATTCCAATGGCTTTGCTGAGATGGATTGGCCCATTCTCAATCTCTTCTTTTGTGATCTCTACATTCTCTTTTGGGTTGTACTCATTTGTCACTTTACAAAGACACCCTGTGAAACCATAAGGCTCAAACTTGACCTCGCAAACAATTGATTCGAGCTTGTCCATCAATACATCTCCTTCGATCAAAGTGTACTTGCACGTAAAATTCTCTTTGTCAAGGAAGTCTACTCGATTTTTCACATATTTGAAAGGAATTGCTGCAGTAATAAACCAAGCCAAACATTTCTTGTCAAATGTTATCGAATTTGGCAAAATTGTACAAAATTGAGCACTGAAATAACCCCTTAAATAAACAATTTTAAAAGTACAAAATCGAGTCAAAATAAACCAAAATATCAGTGTTGGGTCAGATCTAGTGGCCATGCGGATCACCACAAAAAAAAAATAACAAGAATGATTCGAGTTGAATTCGAGACCCATCCAAAACAATAAAATATATTAGGATGGACTTTGTCAATTTAATTTTGTTTTTGTTTTGTGTTTTCTATTTTTGGAACTCTAAACTTGTTTGGTGAACTATTTTTGAGAATTTTTTTTTTCCCCCAAAACAACCCATGTTTTTGAAAACAATAAAAAGTTGTTTTCGAATTTTTTAAAACTATTTTTTTGCACAAAAATGAAAAATGATGGGTTTTTGAAACTTCTCATTACTTTGTTTTCGAAAACAAGGGAAAAAAAACACATAACAAAAAAGGGGTTATTGTCCTGACCTTCAGTGAAGTTCATTTGCTTGATGCTTCCAACCTCTCCATTTCCTTCAATGAACTCAATGCTCTTGATTGAAGAAAACAAGAGGTTTGGGCAAAGGTTGTGTGAGTCAAGGATCAAGGCCTTGAACATCCTATCTGGAGTCACTTTTGTTTTGAATGATTGGTTGATTTTGATGACACCCATCTTTGTGTATGTGTCTCCTTGCTCTAATAGAATTGCAGACAATATTAATGGTGTGAAGAGGAAGAAGAAGAAGGTGGTTTGGTTTGCTTAGTATGGGGTGTTTTTTTTCAGAGGGTAGTTGAAGACTTTGAATTGCATTTGTTTGGTATATATGCAGTGAAGAATGAGATTGAGGTTGCTTTGATAACAGTTTGAAAAAGACTAGTAACATAGAAATGGATATTAAAAACACAACCATTTCACATGGGCCAGATCTATAAAAAGATGGGAGTCGTGGGTCTCATATTATTTGAGTGGACTGTGTCTTATTTTGTAATTGTTTTATGTATAAATAAAATAATTATAAAAATTTTATTACAAATACATAAATCGAATACAAAATATATATGAATGGATGGACATAAATATTAGTCGCAAAATTAAACATAAAATATATATAAATGGATAAAATTTTAAAATTTTATCTATTTATAAATATTTTATATTGTAGCACATAAAATATATATAAATAGATAAAATTTTTAAAATTTTATCGATTTATAAATATTTTATATTGTAACAAAATTATTATATATACATATATATTTACAGTAAACCATTCAAAGCCCATGGTGGATAATGATGGAGGCGACATAGGATAGAACTTTCACTTTTGACTTTTTCAACACATGATTGAAAGTTCTACTCGAAGAAAGATCCTTTGGTGACTTTAGAGTCACATGGAAACCCCGTGCTTTGGAGTTCGGTGGGGTCGATACACCTACTTTATTTTTTTTGATTCGTGAGAAAATAGAAAATAGTTTACAAGATAATTCATGGGATAGATTAATCCCTCCTAGAATTGACATTCACCATGTCAGCAATTTACAAATAAAACATAGAATTAGGTGGATCTTCCAAAAACACTAAGATAGTATTTAGTAGAATTTTTTAAATTTAATTTGATAATAGAGTTATATTTTGAGTTTGTGAGTTTTAGAATTATAATTTGAGTGTAAAAAATTTGTTTAGTTATGAATTTTGAAAAAAGTTTTAAATTGAGTGTTGAATTGAGTTTTGAATGTTTGATATAACATGTGAAATAAGAAAATTTGTTTAATTTTCAAAACTTAATTCAAATTGTTATAATTCATAATCAAACACACTGCTCAAAACTCTATTAAAAATTCTGATCAATATTCATAACCAAACTCTTTTTAAAATTTAATTAAAAAAATTAATTATTAACAAAAAAATAACATTAATCAATTTTTTAATTGAAAATATTACAAAGGAAATATTTTGTTTTCAAAATAAATATTCAATTACTGATTTAAAATAACTTTTATTGTATATATGGTTCGAATTATTATTTTTTAAATAGTTTTGATTTAAAACATAAAAATATATATTATTTTTGTTAAAAAAATCAAAAGCAAATTCCTTTTTTTTTCCCCCCAAATAAGAGGTGCCATTTGCGCACACACACACACAAAAACCATTCCAGTCCATCAGTTGGACATTCGGGAGGATGTTCGAGAGGACGACCGGGTAGACCAAAATCGCTCTTTTCAAAATTCAAAACTTAAAAACTTACTATGCTACCGAATAGGTTTTCAAATGAGTTTTGAAATGTGACTTGAAATCGATTTTGGAAAGTTTAAACCAAACAATGGGTTGGAAATAACTCTGGAATTAAGATTCCAGAGCCATACCAAACATTGCCTAAGTGTTCTTGCTGATTGACGCCTAAGTTGGCCAAGGCATCAGCACATTGATTTGCCTCCCTAGGTATGGCTTGAATTGAGTAGCTGCATCTTCTTAAGAGAAAGTTTGCATCCTCAATGATTGTTCTGTAGGGTGAGTTCCCTGTAACTCCCTCTCGTACCAACTCCATTGCTATTTGTGAATCTGACTCTATCTCAATATTTGATAATCCTTTTTGCATGATGATGGTTATCCCTCTATAGATTCTCTAGAGCTCAGCTTTTAGGCTTGTGCAATTCCCCAAATAACCATGATAACCCCATACCCATGTTCCCACTTCATCTTTGATCAGCCCTTCATAACCTAATTGCCCTGGATCTCCTTTGGAGCTTCCATCTGTGTTCAGTTTAAGCTTACCTGCAAAAGGACAAGACCATCTAGTGAGTGTAGGTTCTGAAAAATTTGGATGCAATATATTCAGAAAGGCTTCCTGAATGTCCATAACTTGTTGTCATGACCCAAACCCGCCCCTATGGGTTTAGCACCGTAACCGGCCAGTAATCCGAGATTACCGAAGGCCTACTTAACAGTCAGACAGTAATACAGAGTACAGGGGCATGGCGGAAGCCAAAACAGTAAATAAACAATGTTCAATGAGCTGTAAGTCTGTATGCAAAAAGATTTTTCATACGTATATACATGAACGGTACATAACAGTATGTACAACATTTACAGTCATCCAGGTCAGGGACTTAATCCCTATTAAGACAGTACAGTACAGTGATATCAGTCTATACAATAATACAAAACAGATACAGAGACAGACGGGGGAAAATTAAAACACCCCTAAGCCATAGCTTGGCAGGCTCGGAACCTCGCAGTGAGGCACATAGGTTGGCTTGACAAAACTGGAGTTTACCCCAACGCTTCTAGCAACGGTTCGGTTCCTGTACACCTACATATATATATATGAGCAGTGAGCTAAAGCCCAGTGAATAACATAATGCGTAAAGAGGTTAAGAATGAGTATCCTTACAGTATTGAAAACAATCATTTCAATCAGTATGCCAGTTATTCAGTCATTACAGTCATATGTGGTACATCTAGTAGCAAAACAGTACAGTAGGTCTTATCAGACCGAACAGTCAGTTGATGGCCATCATATCAGTAAACAGTAGTGGTTCCAACATGGGAACTGACAGAGATCTCTGTAGTAGTAGCAGTAGCAGTAACAGTAACAGTAACAGTAGTTGCTAAGGATGCCACAATACAGTTCATAATTAGGACATCATTCATTCAGTAACAGTATCATTTCAGAAAATAGTACAGTTCAATTACTCAGAAGATAATCATATTTGAACATATCTTTACACAGTTGTTACTCACAGAGTTCTGGGCTACAGTTAAGCTAGAGCGCGTCCTCAGATGCCAACCCTACACAGTTTACAGGATGAACACACACTAAGTTCACATTCGAGAAACAAAGACTTAGTCCCTACTTAGACTCGGTGTGGTTCTACATCTATATCCTCATTAAGATGCCGTAAACTAGGCCTAAGAATGTCTAGGATGAAATGAGGATGCGAAGATGCATTTTAAAAGCATTTTCAGAGTTTTCAGAAAACAGGGGTCCCGCTCGAGCGTCGGTTACTCCGCTCGAGCGGAAATGCAGACAAAGGTTTCCGCTCGAGCGCAGACTTACCCGCTCGAGCGTACTGAAAAACAGTCAAAAGTGCTGGATAGGTGAAATTCACGCTCGATTGGGCGCTTGACACTCGCTCGAGCGTAAGACACAAGGTCCCGCTCGAGCGTAAATTACCCTGCTCGAGTTGACTTCAAAGCAGAACAAAATGCTGGGAGCACGATTTTCACGCTCGAGCGCCAGTCACCCCGCTCGAGCGTGAGTTCAAAATCTGGAATTCACAGATTTGAACCTCAAGCTCAAATTCAACTTCAAATGTATCAATTTCGATTCCTTTGGGCCCATTTCCTGGAAAACACTTTAAAACTCATAGTTTAACATGATTCAAAGCTCAATTGTAAAAATTAAAGCCCAAAGGTAGTTCAAATAAATCCAATTTCAAACCAAAACTCAAGAACACAACTCAAACATGACATGGATGAGTTTAAACCAATTCAAAGCTTCAATTACTTGCTCAAATGAGCCAATTCCTTCAAAACCAAGATGAGTTCATGGTCCAATGCAAAAATATGAACATGCATGCACCAATTTCTATGTATTCAACCTCAAAATGCTAGGATATAAGCATGCATGCATGATTTATGCTACAATTCAACACATTAAGCCAATTCTAGACTTGGACCACTCATTAACCATGGACTATGCAAGATACAACTCAATTACACAAATGAGAGGGTGAAACACTAACCTTAAATCTTCAAGCTCAAGAATATAAGCTCAATTTGTAAAGAAACCTTCAATTCTTCAAGTCCTCTAAGCCAAACTCTCAAGAACAACTCAATTCCTCTCACTCTCTCACTCTAGTCGGCTAGAACAAGGAAAGAGGCTGATGAAATGTTTTGTTGAATGTATAATGAAGCTCAAATATGTGTTGCCTAAGTGGTCCACTAAGTGGCATGTTGGTAATTAAGCCAACTATTGCAATTTAGCTCAATTCAATCTAATTTAAACATACCAAATCACATTTTAATTAAATATGCCATAAAATCACATAAATTCTAATGGTCATAAGTCATCAATCAATTTCAAATTCGGCTGCCGATAAGGCCTTCAATTTGCAGTTTAAACATAAAACATGGACTGATAAGTTTAACAGTCAACAGATAGATATGCATTTAGACTAGCACATTCAATCAGTCAGTTCAGTATTTCAGTCGATTCAATTACTTTTCATAATCAATCTCAATTTAGCAGTAATCAGTGGTTAATCGGTAAACAGTGGTAAAGGTTGTTACACTTGTTTAAGAATGAAGTTGACATTGATGTGGGGGGAGGGGTGTTGGGTTTGGTTCTCAAACACTTCTTTGTTTTTATCCTTCTATATAATCCAAAGAGCTATAACAAAGACCACGGGCCATTGAGTGTTATTGACTTGGACCTTACTTCTCATATTTGTTTTGATCCACTCTTGTAACAATAAAGTGTTGTTGTTTTACCACCAGATATAATTCCTGAGATATAGCCAAACAACCTTGGTGATGTATGTTTTTTCTGGTTGTTTTGCATCTGGGGCAAATATCAGTCTCAAACATATTCCTAACCAGTCTCATGTGTTTAGTTAACAACCTTTCATGCATAATTAACCAGAGAAAACTTTTGAATTTTTGGGTAATTTTAATTTTCCAAAGCCACTGCCAGTCAACACCAGTATTCTCATGCTTTGATATAGCTTGGTAAGCTGCTGAAGTAGAGTAATCACCACTAGTAGATCCTTTCCAATGAAGGGAATCAGTAAAAGTCATATACTTGGGTCTGTAGATACTGAGGATTGCATTCTTATCCTATTGACTAATAAGGTCTTGAATAGGAGTAAAATCCTAATCACCT